AAAATATCCACTATGAAGCGTGACAGCTTTGGTTCCAAATGGCTCTTCTAACTGCAGAGAAGTTCACTGAGCTACATAGTCTTTGGGTCTGGTTAATTTTATTGTGTGATTTTTTTTTTTTTGCAAGATTTTTTTAAATAATAAAGTTTGCAAAATTTGAGATTATTTAAAAATTTAAACAAGAAAATTAACAATAGTCAAGTACGTTAAAATAGCAGAAAAATCTACATGGGTAGACCACATAGAGAGCTTTTCGTGTCAAATGGCTGAGTAAATCTATAATGAGAAAAGTTAAAGTGTTGTCTTCCCTTTTGTTTTGAGTATTTCAGATTTCAAAGGGACACAAGTCACTTCTTCAGGACACCCTGAAAGTGTGCTGAGGGTAGACCTTAGCCATCACATCAGAACACCCATAATTTGGGAAGTGAAGTTCTCAGGTCCATGAGGACTAGAGAGCTAGCGTACAGAAGTGTGTGTGGACTCCCAGAGCCTTTATCCCTGCCGGGGCAACAGCAGAGCCGCTCACTTGCCTGCGCTCCATTGTATCCCTCAGCAGCGTTTCCAGGTCTGTTCTACTTATTTTTCCTGTTTTCCCTTCCGCTTGGCTCACTGATGACTATCATTCTGCCGTCCCAGTTCCATAACCAGCACGAGCTCCACAAATACATACGCCATTGGATTTCCAAGTATTGGGAAAGCAAGTAGTTTATATGGAGTGAGGAGTTAAGACACATTAGGAAATTTTAAAAAAATCTTCCTTCTTTATTCAAGAGGGAGCTAAAAGAGAAGATCATCTTCTGTTTCAGTTCATTTTGGCTTTTGTCAAAGCTTGGTGACTAGTTCCCTCCAGAATATCAACTGCCAATTAGGAGTGTTATCCATTCATTAACAAGAGCACACGGTTGGGAGCTTGTTTCTGGGCTAGTTGGAGCAACAGCTTATTATAAGTTATAAATCAAATAATATTTAAACCAATTAAATAGGAGTAAATATTCCTTAAAACAAATTAAACTTTCATCAAGTCTTTCAGCAAGTCATCCGAGCAGGGAGTGGCTGGGAACACTGTCCCTGTACCTCAGGTCCCCTGGCTCTGTCCTGTTCTCCCCACACTGCCATGTTCCTCAGGTCCCCTGGCTCTGCCCCTTTCTGCCCCTCGACAGACTCCCTTGTTTTTATTCTGTCTTTCTTTCTCAGAAGACTTGTTTCCTGTTGGTCGGAGTCGGACTTACACAGCAATGGCTTCTTCGCACTTGGGGTTGCTCCTTTTGGACTCAGTCTTGGGTCCGTGGTACTGCAGGGGCCGTGAAGGACCACATGCAGTGTGGGATCCCGTGGGCTGACATTGCCTCATGGTATCTAAGTCATTTGTTTGTAAGTGCTTACTCTAGTGTTTGCACAGTGACAAGAGAACCATCCCATGATACATTGCTCAGAGTCGTCTCTGTCATGAAGTGCTGGCTGGCTGTAATTAGATTCTGAGTGTTTCCCAGAATACATCGAAAGGTCCCAGATCATTCCCTTTGAAGTGTTTTTCCTTATTATCATTTGGCAAACTCAACAATGATTGGAAGCTAAAATCTAGCAAATTTCACCTCCTAAATAATTTTGAAGCGGCTGTGATGTTCTAAAGAAATCTGAAAAAGGTGTGATTTTTTTAATACACAAGGCTTTCAATAAAACAATATGCCACTAGGTTTCATATTTCTAGTCTAAATGCCATTTGACTTTTCCCATGTGTAGTGATTACAGGTATTATCTCTCTATACACATACATATGCATTTACATGTGCTCATATGTATAAATATTATACACAGCATAGCAATATATACTGTGAAAGGTCAACATTGAAACAATCTAGTGGAATGCTTCTCATTGGCTTTATTTGATCCTAAAATTGGGCCACAACTTAACTCCGTAGAGAGGGTGGGCGTTGTAATGGGCAGACCGGAAGAGGCTGGATGGTCTGGCCAGAGAAAGGTGGAGAAAAACAGGAGGAAAAGAACAGAAACCATGCCGACCATTTCAGAGCATGTGTGTGAGGACCCAGGTTCAGTTCCTGGCCCTGTAAGATGAGCCCATATCAATGGCAACAAGAATTATATTCTTGGTAAGGCGGAAACAGAACAATAAAAATACATTCTTCCTGGCTGTTTTTGGTGTAAGGATTAACCAGGGAACTTTGCCATCCTGAGGATTGAAATGGGAAGCTTGGCTATATTCCCGCTAATCCTAATCATTTATCAGGACACACAAACAGCTTGGTTTGAGTTTAGTGAGGGGATTTTTAGCAGCAGCGACTCCATTTTGATTTCTAGCCTTGCATATGGGGGTCCAGTAGAGGATCGCAGTCTTTAGCGAGGACCCTTTTTGATTTGGATTTAGTAATATTGTGGTGTTATTGTGTACTAGTGAGACAGCGGTCTATCAAAATCAGTGGGGGACAGACTGAATTAGGCAGGCACTGATAGAGACACTATTAAATCACGCGGGCTGCTACAGCAGAACTTCATGTGTATTTTAGAGAGCTTGATTTTTATTCAAGGAAGAAGGAAAGTTTGGGTTTAAGAAGCAGAGTTTTTTGTTTTTGTTTTTACAGCAACAACATTGTTAAGGCAGAGGTGTTTGCTGGTGAAGGCTCAGGTTTGCTTTTCACGTTTTTCTTTTTTTAGATCAGTTTTTGACTTTCACTCCCTGCATCACTATTCTGTGCATGCGCACATGCACCTGTGCGTGTGTGCCTGTGTGGTGGGGCAGCACTGGTGGTGGTGGCGGTGCCTGCGTGGGTGCGTATGGAGGAGAGGTCACGGTCGGATGTCTTCTTCAGTCATTTCTCCACATCACTTTTGAGACAGGGTCTCTCACTCAACTTAAAACTCACCGCTTTGGTCGGACCGGCTGGCTACCGAGTCTCCAGGTTCACCCGTCTCTGCTCCAGCAGGGCTAGGGTCACAGGTATACCTAGGCCGCTGGACTTGTGTGTGAGTGCAGGGAATCCAAACCGAGGGCCTCCTACTGGCTGCAGGGAGCACTTTCCCCACCGAGCAAGCACCCCAGCCTCTGCATCACCGGCTCTGTGGCCTTTGTGAATGTAATTCATGAGGTGGGGTCCTCCACGTCACCCACCGCAGCTCTGAGCTAAGGCTTCAACAGAAGCCCCTCCAAAAGCCTTGAGGCGCGGATCCTGTTAGGACTTTCCGGAACATCTATCATGGGCTGGGGCTGTAGCTCTGTGGTAGAGCACTTACCTAGCCCGAGAGAAGTCACAAGTTCATTCCTAGCCTTGTCAAGCAAACAAAACCAAACTGCAGGCACGCCACCGCCGCAAAGAGTGCTGGGAATCTTTGGTTTGAGCTGGAGGCTTTTGGACCACGTGACTCCTTGCTTGAAGGTTCCTGATGGTGTCATAGCGTTGTTTATATGCTGGCTGCACGATTAGCCTTGGGTAGGACCCAGGGTGCGTTTGAGTCACACCGGCTACCATCGCTGCAACGGGGCTTCGGTTCCTTCTCTTGTCTTGAATTTGTTGTTTGCCTTTTTCGGCGTGATGGACTCACTCACTGTGTGTCACTCACTCGCCCTATGCTTTCCTATGATGCACAGTGGGGCCGCGACAGAGATGAAATGCAGACTCCACCCTTGAAAACTGAGGGCTCCTGGAGTGAAAGGCACGCAAGTCTAGCGCAGCGGAACAACCGCTGTAACAGAGGTCCCGCGGTCAGAAGCAAAGAAACGCCCGCTTGAACCTGTGCAGGGAATCCCAGGGAAGAAGGCCCTTGTAGACTGAGATGTGGCTTAGCAAAAACTGGAAGCAATTTTCCAAATGAAAGGAAGGCTGGAGGGCAGGGAATTGGAGTCCAGGGAGCTGAGGCTGGCTTCCTTCAGGAGAAGCAAGCTGTGCAGAATGGTGGTGGTTTGACACACATTGTAGGCGGAAGGCAGAACGAAGTGGAACGGGCAGCGTTAAGCCCTCCCCGGGCTGCGTCTCTCGCATATGATTTATCAGTCTACTTGGCTTTAAAACTTGGTACTCACCTTTTGGAGTAGTGGGACTATGGTAGATGGGTGGGCTCATTTTTTCTTTGCTACAGTTTCTCTGTAAAATTGGCAGAATATAAGCAAGAATAGCAACCTTATGATATGCGTATTGTGATTAGGTGAGTTCATGTTTATAAGTTCTAGCAGAACTGCTTGGCATATAGCTGCTCTTATATAAATGCTGGCAGTGATCAAGGTGACAGTGACGCTGATGAAGGTAATGTGTCACTCACCGGGGTCCCCAAGGGAGGTAGCACAGGTGGAGATGACGTGGCACTGTCCATTTCTGGACTGCTGGGACTGAGGAGTTGGACAGAAAGGGAAGTCAATCTCAGATTCTCCTGAGTGTGACCTTGACAGCACATTCATAATGAGGTATTCAGAGCACCAGGGATGTCCCTGTCCAGGAGCAAAGGGAACAAGGCAATGTCCACGATGAGCTGGGGTTTCTCTGCAATGAGTTCTCAGATGAGAACATACACCAGAAACACCCGAAGGAGTTACAACAGGCCATGTTCTACTCCTGAATCTGTGATTCGCTAAATCTGCTGAGGGGTCCACAATTCGGCCTTTTCTAACATGTTCTGGAGTGATGCTCTGGTCTAGAGCCCACACTTGGAGATTGCCTGCTCCCTTGCCTCAGAGCACTGTGGGGGAGGGAGACCCAGGACTCTTGACTTCCTACTGTTTTCCACATCCTCTGCCCAGCAGTCTGGATGCCCTCCCTTTTTCATGGGCACCCACTCTGCAGGCTCCCAGGGCCTGGATGCTGCTCAGATCTCCTTTCTATATTTGTATAAATGGGAGATTGGACCAAATCCCTGGGTCTCCTGAATCAGAATTCTCCATTTGTGCCCTGGTGAGAGAGACGAGGACAAAGAAGCTGGTCCCTGGCCAGCCTGTCATCCAATTGTCTGTCACTGGCGTCACTTAGGTGAGGTGTCCATAGCTCTGTTTGTGAAGAAGACAGGGAGCACTCACGGGCATTTTCATCTGTGATTTAGACTTTCCATCCCGTAGTTTACTAGTTTAGAGGATCACAAGACTAAGTTGTCACCATCATGCGTTAATCTGCCTCATGAGCGCAGGATGAAGTGTTTTGACAACCCACGGGTTCTGACAACAGTGGTCTGCCTGGGCATCATGGGCCTCTGCCTGGGCATCATGGGCCTCTGTGTCATTCTCTAACTTTAATCTCCAGGATCTGGCTCCGACCACGTGGCATGCTCACTGGCTGCACCTGTCGGCAGCACTGGGCTGGAGGATGAGTACCTGGGATGAACGCCTGATGGAAATGACTGGGCAGCTCTTGTGGTGAAATAGGACACTCTCAACCCTGGGCTCAGCAGGCCATTTCGATGGTGAGACAAGGTAGGATTTCAGTGGCATGTTACGTAACCGCGCTCGGAAGGGACAGCCTGTCCATTTCGGTGGCAGAAAAGAGAAAGGCATCCTGTTCTACCGTAGCTAATTGTTAATAACTTAAATGCTGTTTTATCAGATTACATATTCCTGCTTACTTCTGTGACTTACATGAAGAAATCTTTAAATACTAGGCTTTTGACTAATCTTTCTTTTTTCTTTTTTCTTTTTTTTTTTTGAAAAGGATAGGATTCTAGCAAATAATTTCTTGACTGGAACCTATTAGAATATCTCTTCTTGACATTTTGGAAAAACAAAGACGATTCTGAACCTTAGCAGCATTTTGTGGTGGTGCCAGACCTCTTGGAGTGACAGATATGAAATTCCTCCAGGGTCAGAGTCCAGCACTGCTTGCTATGCGGGTGTGAGTGAAAAACCAATCTACCTTCTCACTGTTTAATAGAGATTGAACAATTACCCATGTATAGTGCAAGCTGAATATTTATAATAGCATGAGAAGGGCCAAATACCACAGAGTCTGAGCAGAGGAAGGCTTTTCATGGGGAGCAGGATTTGGAGGAGTCCTAGAGGAGAGACAGGATAGAGTTTGGACAGGTGTGCCTGGGGAAAGGCCATCTGGAGGTGACATTCTTTTTCTGGGCTGTCCCCACAGGACAGATATGGAGGCTTCTTCTTAGACACTGCTCATTCCCATCAGAGCCTGGCCACTGACTCTGACAGACACTTGTGTTAGGGGAGGTAAGCCCCGGAACTCAGTTGTAAGATGCCCCAGAAGCTGTCTTGGTGGCCAAGCTCCAAGATAGGTCCATCTCCTCCATTCTCTTATGCCTTACTTATCCTAAACTCAAAGTTCAAAGCTGATATTTGGTGAGGAACTGACCTGTCACTTGGTAGCCTAGACAAACCGGCTATGACCTCTTTGACCCTGTAGGCTGTAATAAAGCTGGGGCTGCTTGGCTCCTGCCGTCTCACACAGTGAGGGCCAGCTGAAGTGGTGAGTACACGGCCAGGACATCTTTGCAGCGAGGATGGGCACGACACTGACCGCTCAGAGCAAGGCCAGGAGTAACAAAGGAATGCGGGCCAAGGGTCCCAGTGCTTCAGTGGAGAAATGACTTGTGTCCCCTGGGAGTGGGAGTGGTGAGTGGGAAGCACCCTGTGCATGACCTGCGTGCCCCCACCCCCACCCGTCCTTGCTACCTGAGTTACAGTTCAGGAACAGGTTTTCGGTACCAGTGAAGGTGTGAGGTCACTTGTAGTTGGTTGTTTTTATTCTTTGTTCTTTGCTCTTTGGGGGCCCGCCACCCAGCTCCCAAACAATCACATACACAAAGACTTACTCTTTCTTATGAATGCCCAGCCTTAGTTTGGCTTATTTCTAGCCAGCTTTTCTTAAATTGTCTTGTCTACCTTTTGCCTCTGGGCTTTTATCTTTCTCTATCCTGTACAACTTTCTTTACTTCTTACTCCGTGGCTTGCTGTGTAGCTGGGTGCTTGGCCTCTGATGTCCTCCTCACCTTCTTCTTTTCTTGCTTCTCCTCCTTCTTCTTCTCTTCCTATTTATTCTCTCTGCCTGCCAGCCCTGTCTATCCTTTCTTCTGTCTAGCTATTGGCCATTCAGCTCTTTATTAGACTAATCAGGTATTTTAGACAGGCACAGTAACACAGCTTCACAGAATTAAACAAATGCAACATAAAAGAATGCAATACATCTTTGCATCATTAAACAAATGTCCCACAGCATAAACAAATGTAACACATCTTAAAATAATATTCTACAACAAACAACCATAATTATTTGACCAGGAGAGGGCCATGGAGCAGAACACTGTAGAGCTCAGCTGTGGTTTTGATAGTAAGGCAATGGTGGTCCCACAGAATAAAGTAGAATGCATATATTACAAAGGAATAAAGATTTACCACAGACCTTCTCAGATTCCACCTTAAGAAACTAGAAAAAGAAAGGGAAATTAACAAGTGAACAGAAGAAAGGGAGTGATCAAAATGGTTGCACAGGCCCATGAAATTTGCAAAGAGGAAACCAATACACAAAATCAATAAATCCCAAAGTCATTTCTTTAAAACGTATCAGTAAAATCAATAGCCTCTTTCCAGGCTAAAAAAAAAATTATTGAAAACACAAAATGTTGATATCAGAAACAAAACAGGGATCTGTCTGCTACTGGTTTCCAAAGAGATGGTTGGGAATACCATGTCTTCCTTAAATGATTGGTAGCATTCACCAGCAAAACCATCTGTGCCTAATGCTGTTTTGAAAGGATCTTAAACAGGTTTAATTTCCTAACTGATATAAGCTCTTTAGATTATTCATGTCATCTTGTGTGAGTTCTAGGAGCTTTTGCCTTGAAGGAAATGGGCCATTTAATCCAGGTTGATGTGGGCTTAGAGTCATTCATAGTGTTCATTTCTTATCTTGACACCAGTGGGATCTATAGTGATGTCCCTTTTATTTCTGATAGTAATTGATGTTTTCTTCCTAATGTCTTTTTTAAATCTTTTTCAGCTTTTTATTTCATTGATTAAAAAAAAAAATCAATGTCCTATGTTCAATTTCATTGACCTTTGATGTAATTTTTATTATTGGTTTTCTTCTTTCTGCTTTGGAATTTTTTTTTTCTTTTTCTAGTTTCCTAAGGTGAAGAGCTTAATTGGCATTAGATTTTTCTTCTTTTCTATTATATGCATTAAATGCCGTAAGCTTCTCTCTAAATATTACTTTTGCTGAATCCCTCACACTTGGATAAGTTATGTTTTAATTTTTATTTAGTTCAAGATATTTTACAACCTTTTATCTTTTTTTGACCTGAATGTTATTTAAAGGTACATTGTTTAACCTCCAACTTTTTTGTTATTCTAACTGCTTTCTGTTATATTTCTAATCTAATTTTACTTTGTTTTGAAATAATATCTTGTGGGGATTTAGCTCAGTGGTAGAGCACTTGCCTAGCAAGCACAAGGCCCTGGGTTTGGTCCTCAGCTCTGGGGGAAAAAAAAAAAAAAAGGAAAAAAAAAAAGAAAAGAAAGAATATCTTGCATGAGATTTCTATCATTTCTAACATTAAGTTCTATTTTGTCACACAATATGTAGCCTATATGAATGTTTCAGGTGAGCTTGAATATTTGTATTTTGCTGATACTGGATTAAGTCATCTGCACATAACAAATGTGTAGTTGATTAAGAGCACAGCTGAGTCCATGTCTGTCCCTGTGACTTGCTTCCCTGGTGGGTGAGGACCTGTCCATTTCTGACCTGAGCACATTCCTTTCCTTGAAGTTCTGTCAGTTTTTGCTTCTGCCTTGTGTGGCTCTGCCAGGTCTTCTTGGAGAATCACGCTATCCTGACATAATGTCCCCTCCATGCCAGACCGTTTCCTCACCGTGAAATCTCCCGTGTCTGAAGTTAACCTGACCCTCTCTGCTGCTTGATCTGACAAAAGCCTGTCTTTGTCCACTGACCTTTGATCTATATGCGCTCTTCCCAGTGCACTTCCTGTTGGTGACTTACATTTCCCCCGATTTCTTTTACCCACCAGCAATCTGGGCTTTAACTGATACATGTAACTGGTGCTGTTGGTGTTTATTGTGTCTGCCATGTTTGCTACTGTTTGCCCGTGTGTGTGTGTGTGTGTGTGTGTGTGTGTGTGTGTGTGTGTGTGTGTACAGGCAGAATCAACCAAATGCACTGTTGTTAGGAGTCTGAACAAATGTTTATGTGCTGGATCAACAAAAATAAGAAAAATAAGAGTTCTGCCTTTTCTTCTCCTTTTTCATTTTCTGTGTTTTTACTTCTTGTAGATTAGAGTTTCTTATGTTTCATTTCCCCCTTCTTTGAAGGATTTTTAAAAATAATTCTTATGATACAGATCTACTGGCCACACCCTCCCAAAATATTGAGTTTCTTCTTTTATTTTGAAGAAAAATTATGCAAGGGAAGAAGTCCAGGTTCACAGGATCCCTGTCTCTCTTTATAACTTCTTCAGGTTGCTAAGATATCATAAGTAATAATTTTAAAATCACATTTTCACCTATTCTGTGTTTGGGAAATGTATGTATGACAGGGCGTGACAGGGGACAACTTTTGGCTATCAGTTCCACCATGTGAATATTGGAAATCGAACTCGGGTCTTCGGGCTTGAAGGCAAGCTCTGTTACCCACTGAGCCATCCTGCCCGCTCTCAGGCCCTTGCCTTTGCTCTTTAATAGGCAAGACATTTTCTTCCTCTTGCTTCTCCCAGATGCCTCCCCTTCATCTTTGATACTCTGTAGCTTGAATACAGCACATTTATGGGGCGTTTTCCCTCCCTTTTCTCCCGATTTAATTTCCTTTCATATTATTATTTCATTCCGTCTTGGTGCTCTTTGAGCTTCTTGAATCTATGCTTTGGGTCTGATGTTAATTTCTGAGATGGTCTCATCGTGACTGCTTCAAACATTTCTCTTTCCTCGTTTCTCTGTTTTCTTCTGTTGGTGTTAGTGGGAATATCCTGCACGTGATGCCCCTTTGGGGTTGTCCTACAGATGCTAGCACTACTGGACAGGTCCCTCCCTCCCTTTCTCCCTCCCTTTCTCTCTCTCTCTCTCTCTCTCTCTCTCTCTCTCTCTCTCTGTTTTCTTCTGTTGGTGTTAGTGGGAATATCCTGCACGTGATGCCCCTTTGGGGTTGTCCTACAGATGCTAGCACTACTGGACAGGTCCCTCCCTCCCTTTCTCCCTCCCTCTCTCTCTCTCTCTCTCTCTCTCTCTCTCTCTCTCTCTCTCCATTTGCTTTCCAGTTTTGTGAGTTTCTGTTGAGATATCCTTAAGCTCAGCATCTCCTCTCCATGGTATTCAGCTGCTAACGGGTCCATTCTTCATACTAGCAGTTCTAACTGGAGTGAACTAGAATCTCAGTGTAGACTGAATTTGAATTTCTCTGATGGGTAGGGATGTTGAAGTTTTTTTTTTTTTTCATGTTTGTTGGTCATCTTTTAAGAACTGTTGGTCATTTTCATTAGCCAATTTGTTGATTGGATTGATTTTTTTGGGGGCGGGGAGTATTTAGATTTTTGAGTTCTTCATACATGCCAGATATTCATGCTCTGTCAGATGTCACAAGAGCAAAGTTATGGAACCAGACCTGCTGTCCATCCACACATGAATGGATAAAGAAATGTGGTATATATACAAATTGGATTGTTTTTTCCCTAATGAAGAATGAAATGATGTCATTTTCAGGGAGGTGGAGATCATATTAAGCAACATAAGCTCAACTCAGAAAAGACAAATACCACACCTTCTCTCATATATGGGTCCTGGATTTTATATGGATGTGAAAATCAATTATATATGGTCATATGTGTGTTTCTATAAAGACAAAAGCAGAAATGAGCCTGTCTGAGGTATGTGTGTGGGGGGGTGAGTCTGACAAAATGCGAGACATACTTAATGAAAATCTCTTTATGAAATCTATCACTAGATACGATGAGTGTATCGATGAGAGTATGCGGATACAAATTTAAAAAAAGAAGTTACACAGAAAAAAAAAGCAGTTTCCACTCCTGTTGTAGTTTTTGATGCAGAGCATTTCCTGAATTCTTTGTTAGAACTCTTTTGTCTGCTCACACGGCTCATCTGCTCTTGCAGCTATGAGAGCCCTGACCATTTCAGTCCGAGTCGTTTTAATCCTCAGTCTGGTGAGTCCACCAGTTCTGTGGACGTCCCAGCCAGCTTATCCTGACTCTTCAAATGGCGCTCCATCTTTTAGTGCACCATGCAGTCATTCTCCATTACCAGATGTGAAGTCTGGGCCAGGGGAACCACTGCAGGTAGGCCTTGAGGATACGTGGTATGATGTGGGAGACACGTTTTCTTGTTCAGCAGTTAGGTCTGACTTTAGTGAGCCTGTTCCCCTGGACTGTGAACTTCGAAAATGTTGTGAGTCTCTCATCCCCACCACTTAGGGTATGATAGGATGCCTTGAAGAAACTCAATTTGAGTATTTTTTTTTTTCCCTCCTCTCAAGTGGAAGGCTAGAATGAGCCAGAGTTGGGTACAAATAGGCTGGATGTATATTACCCTACCCTTAAGCAAGAGGAGACTTTTCTGTCAATATTCACTTTGAGGACATGGCAGAACTCCAGCAATTCAGAACTACAGAGGAGGTTCTCTCACTCACTGACAGTCGCTCTGGATTTTTTAACTCTCAGACTAGTCCACACTGAACATTCAGAAATCAGGCTTTCCGGAGTTAGCTCTTTCCCCAGATGAGGTGTCTGTTGATCCGCTTAGCTCGTGTGAGCCTCTGTGCACCCCCGTGTGTCTCTTCAGTTTGGGGGAGGCAGTTGGCATCACGCACTGATTCTAATGGATATAGAAATGTAGCCGTCTAGTCCTTCACCTGGCCGTAGACTGAAGCGGTCACTTCTGACCTCCTATCCCTGGACCAGGAACTGGAAGTCACTGTTGGGTTTTTTAACATTGATTTTATTTCAACCAAGGCAGGTTATTTTTACACAACTATTCCTGAAGAAAACATTCAGTTCTCTGGCATTTTTTCATGCATGAAACTTTGGTTTCCATCCATGGTTAATTAGCACAAATGCTCACAAACCAAAGTTCGTCAACATTATTTATCTCTTTGCTGGATGGAAAACTATTTTTGACAGCTGAATGATTCTGATGACATCATAATTCCAAAAAGAACTTTGCTCAGTGATCGGGAGACGGTCAGTAAGGAAGGGTCTGGTGAAGCAGAAGTGTGGAACTATTTTCTACTGTCGAGCTGTTCTCTAGTTAACTAGTACTCGGCTTTATATCAGTTCTCGTTGTCCTCAAAATAAAAACAACCCAGCTTCAACAGTTTTATCTGAAGAAAATAAATTAGATTAACTATTTAAAAAAAAAAACAACAAAAAACCAAATCAGAACCCTGTTGAGTCACCGGAATTTAATCCCATGGCGCGCACGCACACGCACACGCACACGCACACACGCACACACACACACTCGTCTGACATTTTTCAAGTGCTTGGAAGGTGTTTGAGAAGCAGCTGGCTAGCGTCCCTCCTTTCAGGGACCGTCTCTGGCTGACAGTGGGCCCGAGCCCTGGTGCTGCTGCAGCCATTTCTGTTTATCTAGTCAGAACCAGGGCTGGAGATAGCATCGTTCCCACGGTGCCGGGTTTAACTTGGCCTTGGGTGGTGTAACAGACGGGTTGGAACCTGCCACAGCAGATCACATCAGTTGAGCCATCATTTCGAGATCTGTATCTCTCTGTTTGGATAGTTGAGCTCCAGAGATTTCAGTGGATAGATCTCATCCTAAATGAAAGTTACTGTCATCTGGGCTGACCCTGCCAATTCTTCCACAGACTAGGGGTCCTACTGTGTCACTCCCTCTGGATTGTGTCTTTCCTAATCCCCCTCTGGGTTATTTGTGACAGAGCAGGGGCCACAGTGAAATCTCTGATTCTTAGCTACTGATTTCATCTGTGCAAAGCAAATCATAACAGAGAGAGAAAGTGACCGACAGAAGTTCCTCACCACGGTGCAAGACTGTGCCACACGGAGTCGAGGTTTGGGCTGTGAGGACAATTGTTGTACACACAGGGCCAGAGCTGTTGGTGGCATTCTCCTCCGGTCCCCATTGCATGGTTAGCACCAGCACCATTTGGATGGTATGGTATACAATCTCCAAAGCCCTGTCTAAAAAAAATAGGCAACTGATAAAAACAGTCAAGGTTGGGCCTTTCAAGCAGACATCAGCAACATCTAAGGACAAGGCTGCAACAGGCCATGCCATTGGGTCCCCGCCTTCTCATTATGGAGATTGTGTTCATCCCCACCCCCACCTCCACTTCTAATTTGCTAATAAAAAACAATCCCATTGGTACAACAGAACCACAATCATTTGGAAGGTCAAAATTTAATATATTTTGGGTGGAGGATGAAGAGCCAATTTAGACAACTGGCGCACAAAGAATGTTTTCCTTGAATATGGGTTGTCCAAGAAGACTCCGATTCTGTTCATGGCTATGCTATTGTTTTGGCTGGCTGGCTTGTAGGTGCTGGTATTTTCTCTGCTCTCCGATGTAAAATATTGACACAAATGAATTCAATGAGCTGAAGAGGGAAGAGGACGGGGTGGGGTGCGATTGAGTAGATTCTGATCACATCCTGCTGTTTGGGGGAGGAGCTATGGGAAAGTGAAGCATTCTGGGAGGCTAGCAGAGGGCTTTAGGTTAGTACATTTTTATTCCCTTTGTTTGAGACCTCAGGATACACCTCTGCCCACTGCCCCTGAAATGACCCGTGTGCACATTCTAGATCTCATGTGGGACTTCTCAGAGAGCCCTTCCCTGCTCCCTGGGATTTAACATTTGTATCTCTCCTCGAGCATCAGGAGGCATACCAGGCTGTCCTGCCCACCTAATCACCTGGCTCAGTCTTATATAAAAGCCTAAATAGAGGCGTGTGGTTCTCCTGTGTGCCAGCAGATTATCCACTTGATATGGGAATTAAGGAAACCAATGTCTCCTCCCCAGCCTGCTTTGGAGTGAGATTCGTGTCATTCAGAGCCTAGTTAATAAGTGTTACATTGCATAACTAGCTGTAAAACTCGACTTTATCTTTTCCCTTCTACCCAGTTAATTCAAGAACACTGAACTCCAGGAACCCAGACTAGCGGAGGCAGCTACTCCCTCCTCCCTGTGGGCTTCCTGAGATAAGAGGTGTGGTATCAATCTCCACCTGTTCTCCACTTCACAATGCTGAGATAAGGGCTGTTCACCCTGCCCTGCCTCAGCCCCTCGCTCCCTCCTCCGAGGCCCTCCATGCTGAGCAGAGGGCTGTGTTCTTCCTGGAACCGTCGGTGCCTGGGAGGATCAGCATGGCATAGGCTGAGGTTTAGCTGCTAGAAGCCCATGGGTCCTCCACACTGAGCTGCCTCACCTACCCGACTTCCTCGGGAACAAAGCTGATGGGTTTTGTCACTATCTGCCAGGTTAGGATGAACATAGAGAGGAGGGTAAGCATAAAAGAAGAGGGAAACGCCCCCGTGAAAAAGACAGACAGGGACCAGTGAGCTCTCCTGCCGTTCTCCTTGGTTTACCTCTACTACAACATGTAGTTTGTACCTTCGCTAGGTAACTATACAATTTACACACATACAACTATATAAATATAATTGTGCCATTCACATAGACCATTTCTATCTCTGTAGGAGACTTGGTCTTTTTAAAGTTGTATATATATGTATGGTATTCCTGTGTGTGCATGCGGAGGTCTGAGGGTTTTTTGTTTGTTTGTTTTGTTTGTTTGTTTGTTTGTTTGTTTGTTTGTTTGTTTTTGAGACAGCGTTTCTCTGTGCAGTTTTGGTGCCTGTCCTGGAACTAACTCTGTAGACCAGGCTGGCCTCGAACTCACCGAGATCCGCCTGCCTCTGCCTCCCAAGTGCTGGGATTAAAGGCGTGGGCCACTACCGCCGCCCCCCCTCCCCCTTTTTTAAAGACCGGGTCTTTCACTGAATCTGGAGCTCACCAATTCTTCTAGCCTAGTTGGTCAGCCGTCCACAGGGACACTCCTTCTCTCTCTGTCCAGTCCTGATATTACAGGTATGTATCCCACCACAGCCCTTTTTTCATGTGGGTGCTGAGATCTAAACTCAAGCTTTCACGCTTACTTGGCAAGCCCCTTATTCAGCCAACCATGTCGCCAGCCCCAAGAGTCAGTCTTTATGAGGTAGTTTTTCATAGTCTCTTCCAGCTCTTGCTTTTCTGGAACATTGGTGGCTTTGTATCAGGGGGGAAAAAATCCCTGTTGTAAAAATCCTTCTTATAAAAACCCACAGCTAAGCCGGGCGGTGGTGGCTCACGCCTTTAATCCCAGCACTTGGGAGGCAGAGCCAGGCGGATCTCTGTGAGTTCGAGGCCAGCCTGGGCTACCAAGTGAGCTCCAGGAAAGGCGCAAAGCTACGCAGAGAAACCCTGTCTCAACCCCCCCCCCCAAAAAAAAAACCCACAGCTAGCCAGAAACTCATGACCACATCCCTCCCAACCTCCTCAGTTGCTCTTTCCAGTGCCACCAATGTCCTTCTTGCTCTTCCTGTGTGATATTCCTTGTCTCTGCTGGCCATGGTCACCTTCCGAGACTGTCACAGCACTCTACTTTGCACAGGCCATGCCAAAGTGGCCTCACTGCAGTAGCTTTCCCCCACCTCCTTATCCAGTGGGGGACCCTTCACCCCTTCACCTCTCACTTGCTCTGTTAGTCTCCAAGACCATACACCCATCTAACAGGATGCGCAGCTGCACCTGCGGCCTCTGATCGTCTTCAGTCTTAGGCTTGGTGTTTTAGAACCAGCGCTTGAGAGGATTCAGACGCACAGTGGGAGGGAGGAATGAGGCGGGAAGGTGCGGGTGAAATCGCCAGGCCAGGTCTGGGCTTGGAGAAGGTCAGCTGGAGGAATGGGGGTGTCTTTGAACCCTCACACCATAGACACTTGGCGGTGCCCTTGTGTGGACTCTTCTACCTGATGGTCTACCCTGGATGGACACAACTGTCTTCCCCAAGTTTTGCTCGTTTGGTTTGCTTGGCTGTAGGTTAGATCCCCACATCTTTCCTAAGACGGTCTAGAGTGTGCGTGTGTGCCCACGCCTAAGCTTACAGACGTTCAGTGGGGGGAAAAGAGTTGGTTTGGGGGATGTCTTCAAGTAGATGTGACTTTTAATGCTTAATCATCATACGCCTTTAGTTTAGATGTTTTCCTAATTCACCTAGAAAACAAATCAAAATAAGTTTTCGTAGACTACAAAAAGGCCATTGAAATGTCACAGAGAGGTTACTTAATAGTGTTATGTAACACCCGAGGGTCAGGGCAAGAGAGGGGATCTTACTCAGAAGTTTCTAGTAATTTGAAGACATTCAAAACACCGATGTTCTCAGGCCGCCGCTGTGTTTGCCGCTTTCAGCCTCTCCGAGTCCAGGCAGTCAGCTTGAGCCCAGGGTGGGTCTCTGGCTCGGCTTCTCTCACCTCTGCCCTGTTCTTCTGTTGTCTCGCCTGTGGATGCCCCTGATTGGCTGCTTTGGTAGCCACCCCTTGGAGCCACCCCATGGGTAGTGCCATGTTTAATGGGTCCCATCTGCTAGTGGAAGGTGTTTAATATGGCAGAAAATTGGGTGATTTGATTTATAAAATATTAATTTTTACAAGATGATATTTCTTTAGAAGGAGCTATTTCCTGGATGCTTTTTTGTTGTTGTTGTTGTTGTTTTGTTTTGATAACTGCTGAATGCTGGACTATTTGTGAAACCAGTGTAGCTACACACTGGCATGGCTCCCAAGGAGAGTGCTGATGTAAATACACCACAGTGTAACAGCAGAAGCCTGGGACTCCAGGCAGGAGAATGAGCTTTAGAGTAGCCTTCTTATGACCTTTGACACTTGACCTGTCTTGGCCTCAGTTGCCCCACAGACTAGATAATCTTTCAGGCTCTGTATAATCCTGTGAGCAAATTCCCAAGTCTGTGGAGCTGAAAAAGCTTGGCCAAATCAGTAATGATATCTGTTTTTGTTCGAGCGGGTAGCTGACATTCACGTCTTAGAACTTTGGGTCAAACTTGGACATGTGAAAAACTAAACCGAGTTGTGAAGGTCCCTGCTTATCAACCCTTAACTGAATTTTGATCAAATGTTGTGTTTTATCAGATAGGTTTTTAAGATAATAATATGCTTGGTGGAGGGTGTTGGCCTCGGACAGAGGTATTGTTTTTCAGCTCAGTGAGTTCTCATGAGGGAAGCTGATACTGTCATTGGAGCTGGGGTACCTTCTCCTCCGGGAAAGCTCAATGTCCAATGAGCCAATACATATATTGCTCTTGGGCTCAACAGGAATTCTATGTAGGAGACAAACTAGGTGTTCACACATTTCCTTTTTCTTACGGAAGTTTGGAGGGGCCCGCATCTGAGTTACTCTCTTTCAGAAGGGTATACAACACGACCTAATGGGAAGAAGGCCCCACCAGGACATGCTCTAGAGAAGAACCCATTTTAGGGCCTACCTGTCATAAAACGTCATTTCTAATATGCCTTACCTCATACACAGAGCTGGCCTTTGTGGAGAGGCCTGTCAAGCCGTGGCCACACAGCTTCCTGTGCTGTCCCAGGGCAGTGAGAGGCAGATAGCAGTATAGTGTATTGGCTGATAACTGCAGAAAAGACAAAAAATTGATACAGTTCTGGAGCATTCTCGTGCTTTGCCTGTCCGTCATTAAAGGGGAAGTCTCACAATGGCTGAATGGTGAAGCCGTTGGAATTGTCTGTCTGTCTGTCTGTCTGGGATTTTCCATTAGCTGGAATTTAGGTTTACCTACAGACTCTCATTGTCCTTTGTTTCTGCCTGGACACTACAGTTAAAGTGGCTGAATGCCACCCCCTTCAACAAGGGGCGACCTCAGGTCAGGCGGCTGTTGGCACAGGAGGGCTTGTCACGAGACAAGCCACCCAAGTTCAGGGCTGTGTTTTGAGATAGGATGTGTTTGGTGAGAAGATAAAATCAGTTTTAATGATTACAGTTTATTAGGCAGTGGACACGGAACCCTTAGCGCCCTTCTGGACATGCTTGCCCACCTAGGTACTTCAAGGTGAAAGGAGCCCGGCATGCCAAGGGTTAATGCACTGCAGGAAAAGGGAGTCATTTCCTCTCACCTTGTCTGGAAGAAAAGACTCAGTGATGGATTTTACCTCCCTCCTCAATTTATTAGATTTTATGGGGAACTTCACGCGGTATGTCCTTTGTGCGAAGTCACTGAATGAGAGCATTTCATGTGGAGGAAATCCTACCCACCGAGAGAGGACTTCAGGGACGAGGAGGGCAACATTCGTACCAACCAGCGCTCACGACTTTACAAAAGGCCCCTTAGTGAGTCAGTTCCAGCGCTTTAAAAAGAACGTGTTAAGTGAGGAACCCAAGCCTGCTTCCTGAGTCATGACTTCAGGTAAATGGGCAAAAGGCAGCCAAATATTCCTGATCCCAGGAGGACCCTGGAGAACCTGCTAATCCACAGTCGCTGCCCTGTCCAAGTGCCTGGAGGCCCAACACACGTCCTACTCTCTGGGAAGCCGAGCTGGATTTCGGCTCTCAGGAAGATTCTGGTTTTTGTTTTGCTGCTGCTGCTTGAGCCCTCTGTGCCTCTGACAAGAGGATAACACCTCCATTCGTGAGAAAAAACGTTTGCCGTCTTTTTTTTGTCTGCCTTCATCTCAACCTTTGCCAGAGAGTATGGGGTCGAATACGATATATTGGAGGCGACTAATTTAACTGATGGAGTTTCACTGTGGATTGAGTGTTCCGAGGCAATGTTTGGGCACCGAAATTATAAACAGAGGTTCTGTGTTCGGGGTCCCTAGAGGACTCCCAATGGCTCCCGTCCACTGAACACTCTGTGCTGCGGGACCAGCCAGGCAGGAGACAGGGAGGGAAAGCCACCTCTTGTGTCTAATTTGGGCTGGTGTTTAGACCAATCCAATCGTGCAGTGCAGATTTTTACCATGATAGATGCAAGTTGTAATTTAAGACAACTGATGAAATCATCTCACTAATATACGTCTGGGTGACTGTGGTGGGCGAGTGAGGACAGCCAGAGCTGGCTTTCAATTTCCGTTGCCCACCAGGGGCCTTGGTGTGGAAGGCAGGGGGCAAGTTGTTCCCAAGAGCTGGCTTCTAATTGGAGAACCCTTTGTAGCTCTGAACTGGTGGCCCCAGATGACTTTTTTTTTTTTTTTTTGGTTTTTTCGAGACAGAGTTTCTCTGTGTAGCTTTGGAGCCTGTCCTGGAACTCACTCTGTAGACCAGGCTGGCCTCGAACTCACAGAGATCCACCTGCCTCTGCTTCCCGAGGGCTGGGATTAAAGGCGTGCGCCACCATGACATGCGTCACCACGCTGAGCACCCCAGATGACTTTTAAAAATGGTGGATCTTAGGATCTTCTATTTTGAATGAGCAGGCGAACCAAGCCAGACTGCCAGTGTTTCTTGTTCAAGAAAGGAAAGTCATGGCTTAGAAAATTGGAGCACAGTGTCTTGATGAAGAGGTTTTGTTTTGTACTTTTCTGTTTTGTATATGTATGCACACGTTATCATCTATTTATCTATCTACCAATCCATCATCTATCTATTTATCTATCAATCATCTATCTATATCTATCATCATCTCTTGTACCTCATACCCAAAGTGATCAAGGCAATTTTTAAAGTTGAAAGCACCCTAATTTCTGTTTGCATGTCCAAGAAGGCCAACAAGCCATTTCTTTGCCTTTTGTCTTTATAAGACCCTTTCCTTTATTCATTCCTCTCTCCTTCCTTATCTGGTCTTCATTTGCATATGCAAATGCAATATTCAAATGGGCTCACGAAACCCATCTCCTTCCAGTGGAACTTCCCATTGAGCATGCCGACTATTGGGCGAAGCCCCTTGGTGGCGTGTGTCTGCGTGGCTTCTGTTCACTTGTGACAGCGGTGTGTGCCTACGTGGCTTCTGTTCACCTGTGACAGCGGTGTGTGTCTGCGTGGCTTCTGTTCACCTGTGACAGCGGTGTGTGTCTGCGTGGCTTCTGTTCCCCTGTGACAGTGGCTTGTGTCTGCGTGGCTTCTGTTCCCCTGTGACAGCGGTGGTGTGTGTCTGCGTGGCTTCTGTTCACCTGTGACAGCAATATGTGTCTGCGTGGCTTCTGCTCACCTGTGACTGCGGTGGCGTGTGTCTGCGTGGCTTCTGCTCACCTGTGACAGCGGTGTGTGTCTGTGTGGCTTCTGTTCACCTGTGACAGCGGTGTGGGTCTACGTGGCTTCTGTTCACCTGTGACAGTGGCTTGTGTCTTCGTGGCTTCTGTTCCCCTGTGACAGTGGCTTGTGTCTGCGTGGCTTCTGCTCATCTGTGACAGTGGTGTGTGTCTGCGTGGCTTCTGTTCACCTGTGACAGCGGTGTGTGTCTGCGTGGCTTCTGTTCACCTGTGACAGCGGTGTGTGTCTGCGTGGCTTCTGCTCACCTGTGACAGCGGTGTGTGTCTGCGTGGCTTCTGCTCACCTGTGACAGCGGTGTGTGTCTGCCTGGCTTCTGTTCACCTGTGACAGCGGTGTGTGTCTGCCTGGCTTCTGTTCACCTGTGACAGCGGTGTGTGTCTGCGTGGCTTCTGTTCACCTGTGACAGCGGTGTGTGTCTG